AAAATACAACTTATATTTTGAACAGAGCCATCTGCTCCTTTGTAAGCAAGTTCCACAGATGACCAACAAGTCCCAACAGGTCCTGTGCACCTTTTCCTGCGGAACACCCTCCAGCAGACGGAGAGGCGGGCGCAGCTCAGCTGAGCACAGCCGCCCTCTCGTGGGCGTCAACCCACCCGAATGTTGGATGGCTTCACAACACTGTGGTTTGTGCCTTTCCAAGAACCCTAATTTTCCAAGCTGGCAAATCAATCGTGGCGATTCACAGGAATTAGCAGAGGTGATTAAAAAACACCCACCATTTTTTAAAAATGAACCAACCATTTTTTGCACAGACAGGCAGTTAAGGCTGAGCCCCAAAGGGCTCTGAGGTTGTGGCAGGAACCACAATGTCTTGTTAAAACCCCAACTACCTGCCGCCCTCACCAACCTCCCCGAGTTGTAGTTTGTGGGCCCGGAGTCAGTCTCAGCATTTCTGCTTCTCACCAGTTCTCAGGTGATGCCCACATGGCTGGTCTGGGGACCACACCTTCTAAACCACCTTCTAAATGGCCTCGTCCCCTTTTTATAAACATTTTAAAAGGAGAACCATGGAACTAAGTGCTTGGTACTTGATCTGACACAGGAAAAGTCGAACAAACAAAGAAGAGAGATGAAGGCGTCCGGGGTCAGGGGGCCCTGACCCCAATGACAGTGTCCTTATCAGAGACAGAAGAGGAGGGACAGACACAGAGGGGACGCCACGTAGAGACGGAGGCAGAGACGGGAGGGAGGCGGCCACCCGCCCGGGGACGCCAGGAGCCCCCAGGAGCTGGACGGGGCAGGAGGGACCGTCCCCCGCAGAGGTTCAGTGTCTGAGAACAAGAGTCTCAATTTCATGCCCGGCCATCATTCCTTGAAGACACGGCAAGGATTAGAATATACATATTTCATGCAAAAATATGATTAAAAAAAAAACACCCGAAAATGGCTCTTATTTATGAGCGGGGACACTGAAATGCAAGGCAGTGTGGAGGCTCCTCAAAAAATTAAGAGTGGAATTACCATGTGACCCAGCAATCCCTCTGCTGGGTATATATCCCAAAATCTGAAAACCTTCATCAGTAAAGATATATGAGCTCTGGTGTTCATTGCAGTTTTATTCACGGTGGCCAAGACATGGACACAACCACAGTGTCCTTCGATAGATGATTGGATAAAGAAGGTGTGGTACATATACACAATGGAATACTACCCTGCCATCAGGAAAGATGAAATAGTGCCATTTGTGACAACATGGATGGAACTTGAGATTATCATGCTAAGCGAAATAAGTTAGACAGAAAAAGTCGAGAACCATATGATTTCACTATGTGGGATATAAAACTGAAAACAACAAAGGATCAAGACAAACAAAGAAACAAAAACTCATGGACACAGACAACAGTTGAGTGGTTACCCGGAGGTTAAGCGGGGAGAGGGTGGCAGATGAGGGTAAAGGGGGTCAAATATATGGTGATGGAAGGAGAAATGACTCTGGGTGGTGAACACACAATGTAATATATAGATGACGTATTACAGAATTGTACACCTGAAACCTATATAACTTTACTAACTGTTGTCTTGTCACCCCCAATAAATTTAATAATAAAGAAAGTAAAGTAAAATGCAAAAAAAAAAAGAGAAACCCGGAACACGGGAAACTTTTACATAGACAAATTCAATGACTCTGAGCACAGAGCCAGCTGATGATAATGTTTTCTGAGTGTTCTGCGGTGCTAAGCGCGGGGCTGCACTGTTATTGAGTTCTGTCGGTTACTGCCTCGTGATATCGGGAAGGTCCTAAAACAAAAACCTAGGTTTCCACGTCGTCGTGTGCGGAATGGGGATAATCATACTGTTTTTTGAGAAAATGCGACTCTGTGATGGAGTCGTGGACCGATACCAAGTAAGTGCTTAAACGTGCGACTACAAAGCGGTACACGATTGGTAGACGTCTGTCGTTATCATCATCGCCATACAACGGACTTATAAACAAACAGAAAAAGAAGGCGGGTGATGCACATCCCCTCCGTGGGCCATCGGCCTGTGACCGGGGTTATCGGCGCACCTGCTGTGACAGGTCCCCGAGGAGTAGGCGGGACGCGCCAGGACCGACGGCCGCCTGCACCCACCTGCCGTGAAGGTTGTCCAGGTCCAGCTTGCCGACGTAATGCGTGGCCGAGGACACAGTCACCACCCTGGCTGTGCGTCCGGGGCGACCGGACTCCTTCAGCGTGTCCAGGAGCAAGTTGGTCAGCAGGAAGTGGCCCAGGTAGTTCAAGCCGAAGTGTTCTTCGAATCCATCCACGGTGTTCCTCTGCGGGACCATCATGACCCCAGCTGGGGACAAAGGGGGTTCAGACAGCGTGAGATGACACGGGATGACCAGGTGTCCCTCAGCAGCTGGTTCTTCCAAACAGAAAGAAGACAGCGTGTGTGGCGAGCTGGGACGTGTGCCTCAGACACGTCGAGGGCAGACGTCCACATTCCCAGTGTTCCCCCCAAACGAATTCTCAGTGCCCTGGAGGAAATGCTGACGCGAGTACTCACACTGACTGCCCCCAGCCCAGGCTCCAGTCCAGCCCTGTGGGCCATTATCCCACAGACACGTTACTTAGGAAAGTGTGTTGTGTGTCCCATGGACCCCAGAACCCAGGTTCAGAACACCCGCCCTCACCGGCAAACCTCAGCCAAACCCGGTCCCGGAGTCCCTTGCACGGAGGCTGGGCACAGATGCTGTGTGCAGGACGCGTGCCAGGCCCCGGGCAGGCCAGCTTGCTCGGATATGTGTGTGCATGGAGCCGTGTGCACCGGTACTTGTAAGGGTACGTGTGTATGTAATCCGGTGCATTCAGGTCGACGGGTATATGGGCATGTACACGTGTGTATGCACACGCACCCACATGCACACACAATCACACGTATGCATTTTAAGCACATTTTTGTGTTTCCATGTATATTTGTGTGTGAATGTGTGTGCACATACGTATTTGCAAATGGGTACGAGTTTACACATGCATTTTCTTTTACATATATAGTATGGGCATGTCTGTGAATTTGCATGTGGGGATGTATTTGCATATAGCGTGCATTTGCATACATTTGCATATGTGTTTGCATGCATGTTTGTGTTTGCATATAACACACGCATATGCATTTGCATATACGTGTTCATTTGCGTGTGTAAACGCGCGCGTATCAGTGTATGAGCGGAGGTGTTTGCATATGCGTGAGTGTTCACAGTTTATGCCTTTGCATATGTATTTATATATAATGCATGCACATGTCTCCGTGTGTGCGTCCACAAGCTTTATGTGCGTACATATTTGCCTTTGAATTGAATTTGTATAGGTGTAGGGTGTGCGTGCACACATGCGTATTTCTTTGTGTGTGTGTTTGCGTGTGCATTTGCACAGTGGTTCCTGTTTGTGCGTGTATACACTTCCCCATGCATATGCATTTGCACAGGTGTATGTGTGTGTATTGTATATGTATATGTGTAGAAATATTTGTATTTCTCTGTGTATGCGCATGCATTAACGTGTATATATGCAATACTCTATGTATGCGCATTTGTGTCAGTGTGTACGCATGTGTGTATGCAGACAGGTTTTCCCAGCTGTACCGCAAGGTCCCTCCCTGGAGGTACCGGCCACGCTGTGTGCCGTCACACCCAGGACCCGCACGGGACACACCTTGTGGCTTCACTCTCTCCCATCCTGGCTGCAGTGCAGGTTGATCACCAAGGAGGGAGCATCTGCTGCAAGCTTTGGGGGTCACGGCGCCAGCGTAGCGCTTGGGGTGTCGCCAGGTGCTGAGTGATACTCAGAAACTAAAGCTGGAGGAAGCTGGTTGCTGTTTTCACAGGGAAGGGTGGAGGAGGGAACGGCGATGAGGCTGGGCTGCAGACGTAGACACGAGGAGAGGGTCCCAGCTCTCTCAACAAACGTCCGGGACACATCTCCATCGTGGCGCCGTTTTCCCGGCTGCCTCACTTCGTGCGAAGAACCTAGATTCACTGAGCTCAGCCCGTGCCTGAAGCATTTTAACTTCCTAGTGAGGGAGCCCCGAGTGTAGGAGACACTCGAGCATCGTGGCCATGCGAGGTTGGCTCAGAGGGAGCCCGGGCTCTAGGTGGCGGGGACAGAAGCCAGCACGTCTGGGTCCTGTCCGTCCCATCGTGGCTGCTTGACGGTCCTGTCACGGTGCCACGCGGTAGCAGTGACAATATCGTACAACGTGGCACGCTTGGTCACAAAACACGGTGTAGTTTCCATCTTGGTCTGTGGAATACCGTCTCTGTGGAAGAGCCAGCTTCATTTAAGAAAGCTGAACCCCTGAGACCACGGCCTTGCAGAGCCACACATGGGGGGGACCTGGGCCACCACCCCAGCGAGGCCTGGATAACACGCAGTACCTATGTCCCACCACAGGAGGGAGCCATCCTGGACCTCCCGCCCCAGGTGAGCCGCCAGCGGACGGCAGTCCCAGCTGCAACCTGAGCTAGAATTGTGCAAATTCCTGCACCCCCACATTGCGAGCCAAACGGAATGGGCATTGGGGACCCCCAGGGTCGGGGGAGGTTTGTCCCACAGCAGGAGTCACTGGAACACCAGTGCACACCCCACCTTCCATGTTAGAGAGCCCCGTGTCACGGGACAACCGAGCAGCCACCACGCACAGTCTCCCGAGCGTCTAAAGCCACTGGAAAGACCCCACATAATGGAGCAGGAAATGGGGGGCTCGACAGACATGGCTGCTTGAATTGTAGGGTGTTTATGAGGTTCCTAGGGCTTCCGTCTGGTTAGTGAAGGATAATCTGTTGGGAAAGGAATGGCTGACGCTGGTTATCGCTTCCCATGGTGGCCTTGGGTAGCAGAGAAAACAGCCAGGAGACTCCGAGCAGCCAAACCCTGGTGCAGTGACAGTGACTTTGCCTGTCACCCGCTTGGGGCTGCACCGCTGTACCCACACGTGTCGGTTTCTGCCGGGGCCTCAGTGGTCAGCTAAGCATGACAGGACCTGAAATACCACCGCTGCCTAATCTCCTTAAGGCTTAAACTTTCCGACTCGTTCCATGGCTAGTAAGCATTTCCTAGTGAAGACGTCCACGACAAGTACGTAAATGCAAAGCGATCGTTTAGCCGGGAGGGGACGCCAACACGGATGCTTGTTGGATCCAAGCTCTGGTGTCACAGCATAGCACACACTCACTGGCCGAGATGCCAAGAATTGGACAACGGTGATGCTTTGGGCAAGTTCAAGGTTGCTCTGGAAATCTTTAAAGCTTATCCGAGCACATTTTTGGTGCAAACTGCCTCCTTGGGGAAAGGGTATTTTTACAACAGCAGCGAGGGCATCCCTGCCACGCATCCAGCTGCCCACGTCCCGTGCTCCACAAGCATCCCAGCCATCCAGCTCTGCGGGGACCCCAGCGCCGCGCAGCCACCACTGAAAGACCTTGGTGTCTGGGCACTCCTTTTCCGTTATCATGTAACGGGCTCAGGATAACCACGCTTGTCTCTCTTTTCGAGCCAGATGTCGCGGAGACCAGCCTAAGCAGCACAGGGAACTCAGGCCATAGTATTTACTGAATGCCCGATGTGTGCCGAGGGACAGATTTTCACTGTGAACCAGTGCAGCTGCATTGCACTTTTTTTTTTTAATGAATAAAGGGATATTTGTTGTCACGTCAGGGCTTCAGATGGCCATCCTGGGTTAGGCACCGTCCGTTCGATCTTTATATCTCCCTCTCTCAACTGAAATGAGGACTCAGGAAGATAACATTTGTGAAAACACTCAGCCCTGAGCACGTTCCTAACACACGTGTGCACAAGCGGGCCGGTCAAAATGCCAACTCCACGCAGCACCCCGGTCACGCCCGCATGTTAAAGGAACACGTTACAATGGCTTCTGCGAATGACACAGGCCCGACACACGCCCATGGCACGCCGCGGTGGCCAGAGCGAGCCCCTCTAGGCACGGCTTCCCACAGGACGCTGCTCCCCCGAAGCACATCTCTCCCGGCACTCCCGGCGTCCGTGCTGGCGTCAGCACCGGCCTCTCGCCGTCAGCGGAACTCACCGTTATTCACCAGCACGTGGAGAGGCATTTCCTTCTTCTTGAAGGTCTGCACGCATTGCCGGATGGACCGCAGGGACGCCAGGTCACAGTATAAAAACTCCACTGGAAAACAACAACAACAAAAATGCCTGATTGCCGGCCAGCCGAGCACGGGAGCAAAGGTAATTTCTAAACATAAAGGTGCATCATCTGGAACATAAAGGTGCATCAGAAACGAAGGAAGGTGGAAAGCAAGGAGCGGATCCCAAGACCCCACCCCACTAGCTTTGCTGAAGGGTGGCTTTGGGTCTGCAAGCCCGGCTCTTGATAAAGCGCTCGCATGAACGTCTGGGGTCCCCAGGACCCGTGTCTACAGCAGCACACATCTCAGGGGAGACGCATCTGTAAGGGTCTGTTGTTTTGGGGTCACGACAGGACATGTGAAAAGTCACGACACCCAAGGGGCAGCCCAAAGCCCTACCCTGGGAGGGAACATATTTTGGAACACACGCGTTCATTTCCACTCGGAAGGGACCTCTAAAGATAACCCACAGTCCCCAGCTTCTTCAAGCGCAGGACGAAGCCTGAGTGTGTCCAGTCACATGGTCACTCAGGACAAGGCGGAGGGCACGGGCGATACGCTCCGTAAGAAATACAGCAGGAAGTGGGTGCACACACTGCTGACGCGAGACCCTCGGAGCGCGGCCGACCGCCCGCCACCACCCTGGGACCCATCTGCCATGAGACACGCTCGGACCCGGAGCAACAACCGTGTAAAAAAACCAACACATCAACAGTCATTTTACGTTGGCTGAATCCACTAATTAAAAATTTTTTTTAAAAAAGGCAACACTGGGAGCTTTCTGTTTTGCATGTTTTTCGCATTCCTTTTTCTAAGTAATTCCTTTCTCTCCCACCTACAACAGGATCTGTCAGTGACAGATCGGGGGAAAGGGAGCTTTGCCACCGACCGGTAGGAAGCGCATTCTAGAACCGAGAGCCATCTGGGTGGGAATTCCTGCCACGGCGTTCTCACTCTCCCTGCAATATGCTCAGGGAAGCCCTCGCTACAGCTAATAGGTGGAGCCGGGGGCACAGCGTTGGTGGGGACACACACGCGCACACACACACACACGCACACGTGCACACACACACGCATGTGCACACGCGCGCACGCACATGCACACACGCACACACGTGCACACACATACACATACACACACACTTGCACGCACGCACACATGCACACACGCACATGTGTGCACACACATGCACACGCACATGCACACGCACACACACGTGCACATGCACACATACACTCAGTGCCATGGAGTTCTGAGACGTCAGAAGGTGCCTCTTTTGTGCTCGCTGGGGAGAAGGTTTACAGGTGACAGCACTTTGCTGGGACACGTGAGCGTGGCCGTCCCCTTCGAGAGTGTGGCTTTGTGATGCAGCCATCGGGGTTTGCTCCCTTTCTGCCCACACCTGCCACCGGCACCTGCGTTCTCCTTGGATTCCGGGACGGCCGCCCACACCCCACCCCGACCCCCACGGGGCATCCCATGTACAGGAAGCGCAACGAGTGCTTGGTGGGGGGGTGACGCCGCACGGGGACCCCGAGTCCCTAACGCAGGCCCCACAGCTGGGGAGGGTGAAAGCCCACTGCCGACGAGAACTGCCCCCGGTCCCGCCCCTGACAAGGGGGACACATGACACAAGTCACATGGGATGCAGGCACCAGCGTTGAGCTGGGGCAGGACGCGGGGTGCAGGGGCCCCGCTTGCGAGGGGCTCAGCTGCAGCACCAAGTAGGGGCTGCAACCCCCAACCGTGGGCATGGTGACAGGCGGCAGGGGTGACGGTGACAGGCGGCAGGGGTGACGGTGACAGGCGGCAGGGGTGTTGGCTACAGCAGGGCTCCTGGGGGGAACGGCTGAAGAGTGAATAGAGTCAATATTATGGTCATGGCTCTGCCCGGTGCCAGGTGGGGACTAGACGTTCGGGGGCATCGCTCTGGAAGGTGTAGAAACGTCTCACCACTTCGCGGTACGCCTGACACTACGATCACAGGCTATTGCATGTCAGCCGTAATAGAAAAATTACAAATTTTAATTAAAATATAAATCAGAAGGCTGCACGGTATCAGAAAAACGCAAGACAGGGATAACTCAAGAGACAGGCGTGAATGGCACACAGTGGCGCGTGACCCGGGGACCCGACGCCCCATTGACACGATGCGGCTTCCTGCAGGGTTTGTCCCTCAGACGAACACGACACGAGGCTCTAGCTCTCAAGGACTCTCGGGCACGCGAGGACACAGGGACCAGAGCCCAGAGTTAAGGGGACAACCGTGACAATCGGACAGGTGGAGAGGCAGCAGCAGAAACAAGGACCCAGGCAAGACCACGAGCGATACAGAGGACACGGCTGCAGATGAAAACGTCCAGACTGGGCTACGACGGTCGCATAAAGATTGTACAATTACAGGGCCCCACTTCTAAGCGCGCGAATCACGGGGCAAGCTTATGACTCAATTGTGAACGCCTCGAGGGAACAAACCCTTTTCTAAGAAAAAACTGATGATTACCATCTAATCAAGGAAATTAGAGCTCATCAGAACAATGAATATGAAAGAGAGAGAGACAGGTTACAAAAGCACGGCTTTCAGAAAAGAGGGGGCAGGCTGCAGGTTTTAGCAAATTCGTGCAGTTTTCAAAGAACAGATTAACCCCAGTTATGCCGGCTGACTCAGACCATAGAATAGGCTGGTTTGCTTGCTTTTATGACGTTGGCATTGTTCTGATACACAGATCTGCAAGGAGGGAACACGGGGCAGCGAGCGGACAAGACACCAGCGGACCGCTATCACCCACACATAACGGACGAAGGACTCCGGAACAAAAATGCAAATGAAACAAAAAAATCTTCCACTGACAGAAGCCAAAGCAACTGTGTCTAACAGTAAGAAAAGACATAAGATGGTTTCCAGAGAAGTAACGTGCTAAGAGATGTTTGCCACCATGTCAGTGTTAAAAAAAACCAAACACACGGAGCCCCTTTCACACGGAGACGGAGCTGCCGTCCCCGAGGACCGGCCTGGCCCGTCTGATGCCTCCAACCTGTGGCTGTCACAACAGGACACAGTCACCTTAGGACGGGGCCTCAGCAACACTGTGTCCCAAAGAGCTGTTTGCAGAGGCAACAAGAAAGCGGGTGCCATGACTCCAGGACTGAAAATTAGAAACACTGTTTAGAATCCGCGTCCCTGTGTCACGTTATCTGCACCAATAGCGACGCCTTCCTTCTGTGACGTCATTGTCTCCCTTCCCTTTGTCATAAACACCCCTGGCCTTCGTGGCCTCATCCGAACACCGTCTGGACTTCTGCCCGAATCAGGGCTTCCCGGATAGCGCCTCTTTTTTTAAAATACTTTTTTATTTGTCAGTTACAGTTGACATTCCATATGACCTGACACGATTATAGTGTCAGGTGTACAGCACCGTGGTGAGACATTACATAACTTACAAAGTGATCCCCCTGATCACCTGAGAGCAGTGCATCCTTCGGAGCCTGGGTTTTGCTTTCGGCAGACCCCCACGCACGGTGGCACGGGTCCTGTTTTACTTCCTGAAGGGGGTGGAGTGAACCTCACCCCAACAGTGATTGTCCCCGGGCTGTGATGCACGTTGGGAGGACACAGGCGGAAGGACCCCCAGATTTATCTGTCCCTCTCGGAAGTCAGCGCAGGCCTCAGGCCAGTAGGGGGCTGCTTTTATGCAGACGGTCTTTGATTTGTTTTGCAAGACTCAGCCTGCCTCTGCACAATACAGCTACGACAGGCCCACACATCAGAGCCACAGCAAGGGCACGCGTGGGGGCTGGGCTGCGAGCTCACCGCACACAGCACCCTGACCGACACGCGGCCCCCACGGCGCCGGGCAGGGCTCGGGCCCCAGCACGACATGGGTGTGTG